AGAGAGAGAGAGAGAGAGGAGGAGAGGAGAAGAGAGAGAGGAGGATGAGAGAAGAGATGAGGGAGAATGGAGAGAAGGAGGAGGAGAGGAGAGGGAGGCGAAGAGAGAGAGAGAGAGAGAATGGCTGCCTGCCAAGATCTCTGGCGGCCGCCAACGGCAGGCCCAGGTTCGCATCCTATTCGCGCTGGCCTCCCGAACGTCCACCGCTGTCTCTGACGCGGCTCGGCGGCGTCGTCGCCGCCCGCCGGCGGCCGGGGCCGCGTGCTCACCAGCGGGCTGGCCGGGTCCTCGCCGCTCCAGCAGCCGGAGCTGGACGAGCGGCGCCGCAGAAACTCGTGCAGGTCGAACGCGTGCTCGCGCGGTGAGGCGCACACCTCCTCCCGGCCGCGCGACACTGTCTTGCAGCGGTGCTGACGGACACACGGCACCGATCAGCGTCTGATGGCTCGGCTTTTATCGACGCGAGCACCTGCTTTGAAAGCTTCCCGAGACAGGAATCAAAACCGCCGTGGTCTGAGGGATCGGGGCCTGCACCGCGTGATCTTGAGCACGACGCGTGACCATACGGCTCAGGGGCGGCAGGCCTGCACAACATACAGGGCGCAAGGGTGCGGGGTGCGCCTCTTCCAACACTTAACACCATCAGTACCCCCCCCCCCCCTTGCCACCGCCACGTCGTGCCCCCCATCCCTAAGCGGCCTGCCTCCACCACGCGCCAACATCCAGTGGAAGCGGTCGCACCACATACCCCTGACGAACGTGCCTCGCGCCGGCCTGGCGCCCCTCAGCACTAACCTGCTGCTGGATCTGGGCGGAGAGTTCCTTGCTCTCGGTGGCCGCCAGGTCAAACTGTGTTAGGTTGAGCGAGCGACAGATGGCGTTGCACACGTGCGAGTGGAAGAAGAGCGCCATGCCGCGTGTGCCCAGGTTACCGTCGCCGTAGCTCTCTCCTGCGGACAGAGCCGCCGGACGGTCAACGTAGATGACATCATCGGCTATGTCACAGCACGTGACCTGTCAGAGCACTCAGACTGACATCCAGCTCCCCCAGCAGCCAGACCAGCGCCCGGCAGATGCCACGCCCCGTATGACTATGCACGTGGAGCCAGCTGTTGCGATGATCAGCGTTGTGACAGCTTCGCGAATTCAAGCAGGCAAGAACAGCACGTGGCTCGTGAAGAGACTCCGGACACTTCCGCACGCTCGACCACCCATCTGGATACGCAGGAGAACGCTGCGCGGTCCGAGTCAGGCTGCTCCAACGTTCATAAATGACAGATAACCTGGCAGATAACCAGGCAGATAAATGTCAGATAACGGAACAGCGCGAATTGGATACTGAGTCACTCACCCGCACCGGACCTGCACTTGGCCGAAGATCACTGGCCGTCTTTGTTTGGGTGAAAACACGAACACACATGCCCATTAAGACAGCAGCGCAGCAGATGACTTCTCGCCCGTGCTGCCACATACCGTCGGCGGTGTGAATCTGAGGGTCGGTGTAGAGGTCCCCCACGCCTTGGACATCCACCACCACCAGCTCGTGACCTGACCTGGCCGATAGGGAGGTCACGCAGAGATCAAGCATAAGTTAGAGGTCATGAAGATGTCACACTGTGGTATCCCACGCCTTGAACGCTGGCAAAGGCTCGCGAGTGGGACAATCCCTCAGGTCACGCAAAGGTCATTCCAAGCTCAGACATAGAGCAGAGGTCACACAGAGGCCAGGGGCCGACCGAAAGCACAGAGGTCAGCTCCAGGCAGAGATCCGCACACCACAGAAGGCACACACAGGTCAGAGGTCACACCTGGGACGCGCCGAGGTCACTCACCCCTCCACTGTCAGCACCGTCCAGAGCACAGCTCGGCAAAAACAGCTCCAACTGAGCCTCCCGGGGAAGGACGGCGTGCGTAGGGGGGGGGGGTGAGTAGGGTGGGGGGGGGGGGAGTGACAGGTGGGGCAGACTAGACGACGTGACAGGTGGCAGCGGGCCGCCGCCGCATGTGGTGTGACTCACAGGGGTTCAGTAACATTGGCGGCTCGACCGGCGTACGACGGTCGGAGAAAAAACACGCGCAGTACGCGGCCGCACATTGCTGAGCTGCTGCGTGTGATCTTTAACCGTCCGATCCCAGCGTACAGGCGTCGACAAAACGGCGCTGCGTGTTACAGGCATCCTAAACGTAAAAATGGGGGGTCGTGACCAACCTCTCCCCTCCTTGAACCAGGAGATCCGCATAGTGCTGGGCAATTTCGCAGCAATTCGGCCTAAATTCCCAGAAATCGGCACAAAATTCGGCATTTAGCTCCCTCGCACAAGAAATATTCAGACTATACCTTCAGTATACTATACCCGAGAATATATTACGTACTAAGTGAAACATGAAAGGAAGGAACCCGTACCGTGTACACCTGAAAGCCTGCATCAGCTACCAGCTAACCCTGTCCCTGCGTGAATGCCGGCACTTTTCCAAAGTCCGCTGGCTGGGCGCCTTTCACTGTCAGAACGTCACGTGACTGATCCCGCGTACAAACATCTGAACTATAGCTGTGTTCAGTTACACTGCTACAGCCTTCTGAACGGTTGGAACATGACATGGTTACAGGAACAGCGTCTTTTAAACCAACAGCCAGAAACCCATTACCATGCTGATGCGATACTGTTCAAACATGAGCCGTTCAATTGTGAACTAGCTGATTGGACGCTCTCCCCGTCCGGACGCTAGTTTCGGACTGTCTACAGTACGGACGCACGTTACTCAGACCTCAGCCCACCAAACTGTCGCTCACCTGACGTCCGCCGACCGGTCGCCGCTGTCTCCCCGTCCCAGCGCCACACGAGCGGGCCCTCATCCGGCTCCCACACCGCCCGGTCGCCGCTGTCTCCCCGTCCCAGCGCCAGACCAGCGGGCCCTCATCCGGCTCCTACACCGCCCAGCCGCTGTCTCCCCGTCCCAGCGCCACACCAGCGGGCCCTCATCCGGCTCCTACACCGCCCGGCCGCTGTCTCCCCGTCCCAGCGCCACACGAGCGGGCCCTCATCCGGCTCCCACACCGCCCGGTCGCCGCTGTCTCCCCGTCCCAGCGCCAGACCAGCGGGCCCTCATCCGGCTCCTACACCGCCCAGCCGCTGTCTCCCCGTCCCAGCGCCACACCAGCGGGCCCTCATCCGGCTCCTACACCGCCCGGCCGCTGTCTCCCCGTCCCAGCGCCACACAAGCGGGCCCTCATCCGGCTCCTACACCGGCCAGCCGCTGTCTCCCCGTCCCAGCGCCACACGAGCGGGCCCTCATCCGGCTCCTACACCGGCCAGCCGCTGCCTCCCAGTCCCAGCGCCACACCAGCGCGTCCTTACCCGGCTCCCACACCACCCAGCGCCGCTGTCTCTCCGTCCCAGCGCCACACCAGCGTGTCCTTACTCGGCTCCCACACCGCCCAGTCGCCGCTGTCTCCCCGTCCCAGCGCCACACGAGCGGGCCCTCACCCGGCTCCCACATCGGCCAGCCGCTGTCTCCCCGTCCCAGCGCCACACCAGCGCGTCCTTACTCGGCTCCCACATCGGCCAGCCGCCGCTGTCTTACCGCTCAAACGTGAAGTGGCTGAAGGCCTGCGGCGTCAGCCGAAGGTTCTCGTCGCGCACGAAGCCAGAGTTGGAGTTATACTTGACGTAGTGGCCGTCCATGAAGTGCTCGAAATGGAACAGCGGCCTGTCCTCGCGGTCAATCATCTCCACCACGTACATCTGCATGATGTCCACCTGGAGGACGGCAACGACGCCAGTGGAGCAGCGGAAGACAAGGCCAACCCTCTCCACCGCGTACGTGATGCACGACGCACCTGTGTGATGTTCACCCGTCAAATGGCATGTGAATCCAGCAGTACTGATCGCTGAACGCCATGCACCACGGCCAAGAGCTTCCGAGTTGGCGCTCTGCCAGCCCAGCGGGTGAGGTGGCTACCAGCTGCGCGCACCTCGTTGGGTGGGTTGTCTGCCGGCCCGTGCCCAGCCCCTCGGACAGGCCCCTGCCAGCCTGTACCCACCTTCTTGGGAGGGTTGTGTCGGTTGTACTCCTCGCTCCACAGCTTCGCCTCCATCTGCAGCTTGACGTCGTCGAAGTAGGTGCGCCGGTCCACGGGCACCATGTAGGACTTGGCCACGTAGTTGTTGCTCTCGCGATGCCACACGTCAAGGTGACAGAAGTTGCTCAGCTTCTTGCTGGCGACGACATGCGAAACACATCTCATCGGGAGTTATGAAACGGCGCGACGCACTGGACTGAGCGCCGCAAGCGGAGGCCGGTCACAGGAGGCGCCCCTCCCAATGATCTCGCGATGGTCTGGGCACTTCGCCCGTTCATCTGCTTGCGACATCCGCGCACTTGGACGTCGGCCGACCGCGTGACTCACAGCCGGATGGCGAGATGGCAGGCTGGATATTATGGGTACAGACACTGCAAACCCACAGCAGAACATAAACCGGGCCCTGGACAGGCACCCCTGCCCGGCCAGGCCGGTCCCGCGCCGCCCTGACCCACTCCCAGGCCCGGAAGGGGCGAGACGCGGCAGCAGAGCCCCGGGCAGTCGCTGAGGGCGCGTCCAATACAAATACAGCCGGGCGGCGCTGAAGCCCGCTCCAGACAATCCAGCTGGCTCACGGCACAACAGCAAACACGTGGAATTGCCAGAGAAAACGGCACGGCTATAACCGGACTAGCGCTTGACCGAGAAACAATGCCGTGCTTACACAACGGCCGGCAGGGCCTGGCCAGGCCGGTATTCTCACGCAAACCCCGCCGTCAACCTGACGACCAACAGCCAGAAAGTCCCGCGTGAAAACCTCACAAAAAACTGGCAGTGTCACTATGAGCGGAACTTTTCACCCATTCCACGGGAATCCTTTCCCCAAATGTTTCAGAGCTTCAACACCAGGGCCTCATGAGTGCTGTGTGGCAGCCAAGGCGCGAACATTACTGCGTGCTTCCTCTCACACCTCCAAAAACTTCCCACACATCCCACCACCTCTGCTCTCAACTTGGGGCCAGCCTACGTTCCTCCTCGATCCACCCCCGCCCCTCCCGCCCATAATAGCATCCAACGGGGGGACTCACGCGCGGAAACAGCGCCGCATGGCACCGGCGTTGAACTCCTGCTGCTCCATCTTGACGCTGACCTCGTCGGTGACCCATGTGGAGGTCAGCGCCCGGTACCGATGCCGCAGCGCCCGCTCCGTCTTCACACCATCCACGTCGAAGTTGTCCCACGTGTCACCCACGCTGTTCACCTGGCGGAGATCAGACGGAGGTCAGGCGGAGGTCAAACTAAGGTCAAGTGGGTCAGACGGAGGCTAAGTGGAGGTCAGGCGGATCTTCTGGAGCAGCCGATTTCTGAGCAGCAGCTGACAGGGGTCAGGAGGAGATGAAGAAGGATCTGGTGGAAGCAAGACAGCGACAGAGGTCAGAAAACAGCGGCCAAATAGAGACGGTGGTCAGACCGGAGCAGCCACACGCACGTACGCAAGTTCGAGGGATCAGACGCCACACGCACGTATGCAAGTTCGAGGGATCAGACGCCATACGCACGTATGCAAGTTCGAGGGATCAGACGCCACACGCACGTACGCAAGTTTGCGGGATCAGACAGTCAGATGCACGCTATGCCAGGTGACGTAGACAAAGTAGATCACGCACGTAGCGCACAGTGTGACACCCAGTCCCACCAGTCACCGAAAATAGAAATCGGCATGGTAACCAGATGGTGAATGAAACGACACAGTCAATCACAACTGTGGTTTACAGTTTGGCTTTTCTCAAATAAACTGGGAAACAGTACGAAATGCATCCTGATTTATGACTCAAACCAACCCTGTTTTTGGCTCATTGTATAGCCGTGACTGGAGCCAATACATACTACCAAATATAATAAGCAGTCAGCGATAGGAAACAGCAGGATTCCCTCGCAGGGTCGTAACGGGCGGGTGGTGGATGCCTTAGACTGCCACGCCTGGGCCCGGGTGCGGACCCCGGTGGCGCCGTGCCCCCTCCCCCCCCCCCCCCCATCGGTAATACGGTCAACGCAGCCGCTGGCGATCCACAATCTGCGCAGCATTATAACACAGCTTAGAGAAAACTCCTGGACAAAAATGACGATACAATACGAGCCAGGAGTGGATGACGCAACTCCGCTGGTCTCTTCCACGAAAACGACTTTCGGGAGGTGGGCCTAATGTAACAACGAAACCAGGTGCGACGCGATAGCATGCCGAACAATCAGTGAGAATGGCATTATCAATATTGATCACTGGATCAGATACGATCAGATATGATCACATATGATAAAATCAGGCACAGAGAAGGGCAGCCCTCCAAGTGTAAGTGGTCAATACAGCACAATCACGTCCGACTTGTGTCCTCAAGGGCGTAAGCGGATGACCACGTATGGTGCCTAAGACACGTAGACAGGCGGGCTTATGAGGATTCGTATCCCATAGAAACAGGCCCATAACAATTAAGACCTCCGCTGCGCAATGGAAACAAGACAGGTCAAGGAGTATTGCTTTATCAGATCGCAGCACAAAAGAGCCACCACTTTCTTACCTTTGGCGTAACACTTGAGAACGAAATGATCTTTTTCGGGTGGTGCCTAGACAAATGCGCATTGCATTCCCAGTCTCACACAATACCTGGTATGGCACGCAGCTCGATCTAAGCGTCGCATTACATGTTTCGTTATGTTTTTGACGCTGGCTCCGGGGCAGCTCCACAAGAAATGTCCCCATGCTGCATGACCCGCTGTTCCTGGGACTCCACCCCGGTGACGACGGACGGCAAGAGCTCGGTCGTATCCCCGTGGCCACAGGGGCATCACTAAGCTGTAAATTAATGCAAACTGATACAAGGGTTTCTGCAAGTGTTTGCCTGCCTTCCTAGCAGGTGTGCAAATGCTGCCGGTAGCAGGTGTCCAAATGACATTCAACAGTCGATTTCTGGCGCTACACTGTTCTCTGAATCGGAACATCCGCTCAAACACCAGAACATTCCGCATCCCGAGTGTGCAGCTCCAGTTCGCGTCCCCAAGACCCCGTGCCATGCCAGCCATTTGTCCCGTAGACACCGCGTCAGCATCAGCGCCATGCCGATGGCTCTAGGCCAGACAGGGCCTTGGAATGAGCGAAATAAATAATGAAATAGATCGTGTGAGGGCCGTTCGGATTGGTGCGCAGACTCATGGCCACATATAGCGTCACCACCGACCGCTTGTGAACACAGCCGCGCGCTGCTGTTGCATCAGCTGACCCACCCCCTGTACACCCACTCGCGCGAGGAGTGCACGGGAGGGGGGGGGGGAGCGGGGCACGTGATCCGTCGAACTCGGCCCCCTCTCGAAGCTTGACTGCGAGCGGCGGGAGGCGGCAGACGTGTGCTGGTCGGCGCAGCGGCCCGGCGTCGATCCTTCTACGTCTGCCGCCCTCCACGGGCCGGTGGGGGAGCGGGAGGTCAGCTCTGCTCAGTCTCCACGGGCCGGTGGGGGAGCGAAGAGGTCAGCTCTGCCCAGTCTCCACGGGCCGGTGGGGGAGCGGGAGGTCAGCTCTGCCCAGTCTCCACGGGCCGGTGGGGGAGCGGAGAAGTCAGCTCTGCTCAGTCTCCACGGGCCGGTGGGGGAGCGGGAGGTCAGCTCTGCCCAGTCTCCACGGGCCGGTGGGGGAGCGGGAGGTCAGCTCTGCCCAGTCTCCACGGGCCAGTGAGGGAGCGGGAGGTCAGCTCTGCCCAGTCTCTACGGGCCAGCGGTCGGGAGCGGGGGAGCGGGAGGTCAGCTCTGCCCAGTCTCCACGGGCCGGTGGGGGAGCGGGAGGTCAGCTCTGCCCAAGTCTCCACCGGGCCAGTGAGGGAGGGAGCGAGGTCAAGCTATGCCCAAGTCTCCACGGGCCTCAGGAGGGAGCGGGAGGTCAGCTCTGCCCGTCTCACGGCCAGTGAGGGAGCGGGAGGTCAGCTCTGCACAGTCTCCACGGGACGGTGGGGGAGCGGAGTGTCAGCTCTGACCAGCATCCACGGGCAGGTGGGTGAGAGGGGATGTCAGCTCTGCCCAGCCTCCCCGGGCCGGTGGGGGAGCGGGAGGTCAGCTCTGCCCAGCCTCCACGGGCCGGTGGCGGAACGGAGGGAGATAAGCTCTGCCCAGTCTGAGTGGTCAGCTTCTCTGCCAACTTCCGGTGCTCACATAACAACCAGGGTGCCGCGGACTGCAACCTCAGTTACCTTGCCCTACATTCTCACATCGAGCACAACAACCCAGCCGTCCGCACTAGATGCATGATTAGCCTTGTAACGGGACCGCGCCGGCGCTAGTCCAGGCTGCCCGGACGTCGGCAAGGTTGCGTCGGTGCCGGTGCTGTCCACGGCGCGCGGCGCGAGGCGTCGGCCGCGGGACAGACAGGCGGCGCGCTCGCCACTCGCCGCTCGCCGCTCGCCGCTCGCCGCGTGCCGTCTGCCGGCTCAGATAAGTGCGGACAATCGGGCGCCGCCGCCTCCGGCGCCAGACCTTCAGAACGAGGGTGACGGCGCCGACCGGCCACCGAGACAGCGCCGCCCGCGGCCGAGCCGGCCGCACGGACGTCACCGCTCTGACGTCACACGCCAAGGCTGGTCGCTGCACGCCGGGTGGGACGGGCCGCGCCGCGAGCCTGAGCCCGGGGCGTGCTCAATCGCAAAACATCGGGTTTGCTTCAGACCATGCCACGTCGAAAACGTTAGCAGCTGACAAACCGACGCCCGGACTATGAGGACATGACTGATGTCAAACATGCACAGTTTTTTATGACGCATGTTTATTCTGAAACGAACTCCTTGGTGTGCACACCATCAGTTCTAGTTTTGTTGAAACCGGGACAGGCACTTGCTCCCAAACACTGTCGCAACTCCCACAAAAACTACGTCGGCAGGGTGTTGAACCCCGTGTGTTGCGTAAAGCGTTGAACTAGCCTTGCAGCATCTGTGGGTGCCAGCAGTGCAAAAAAATGTAGCCCTTCCAGCACTCAGTCAATATTACGCCCTGAGGGAACGTCAAATTGCCTCCCAAACCCTGTGAATTTGGACATAATTCTTGCGACCCCCCCACCACCTAGTGTGTACCTCCCAGCGCACGGCGAGGACGGCGGTTACGGCCCCCTTCACCCTCCACTTGACTACGCCCCTGTGGCGATGATGGGCCCAAATTCATCAAAAAGGATGGTTGACTAGGAGCAGGGGCTTCGGTTGGCGGAGACGCCTTGGGGGTCAAGCCGGGGGCATAAGAACCGAAATTCGCCAAATGTTGCGTTTCTCAACAGATTTGCCCTACTCTTCCACGAACGGCAATTTTTCGCCTCACATTTTGCATGGTTTATCAAGCAGATATTGATATGAACAGCACATATGCTGTAACTACTGTCTCCATTATGACCATCCAATATTATGATGGTCTGAAACCTGGCTTGATGAAATATATAAAATGAATATAACACAAACTACATTATCATACCCGAAATAAATATAATAAGTCATAATAATAACTTAATTACAGTGAAAACATATTCAATAAAATATATTCCGTAAATAACTCATGACGCAAAACGTAAAAGAAGAGATGGTGTGAGAGCAGCGGCGAGCACAGATGACATTAGACAACAAGCGCCGTAGAGATTAATATTCCTCTCAGCATGGATATCAGTACAGACACCAACCTGGAGTGAGCTCTATTGTCGCCGTGCCCGAACTGTGCTGACAAATTGCGTTGCGTGGTGCTTTTATTCACATTTGTGTTCAAGCATTTTGATGTTCGCCACTTCAGTGGCCTTTGATGTCAGATCAAGTGGCGTAAAAACTAGACAAAAAAGTTCTATCGTAAATCACACTCGACCAACACCTTACAACCGCTTTTTAAACACCAGTAGCGTACGCATGACAGAAGTGTGTGTGTGGTTGTAGCGTGGGGGAGACCCAATGGTTGCTAGCCTGGTACAAACAAAAAAGCACGGCGCCTTCTCCAGATATCTCACAGATATGCTTGATGACAGCGGTGCATTGCCACCTGTTGACAGGCTCGCGCATGTCAGCCCAGGGTGTTGGTGTGGCCTCACGGACATACATTGGCTGAGGCATAGAACGCCATAGCGCGGAACCGATGGCTCGCACAATGCATGAATATACGCGCAGTAATCAGAACTAAGACGCTTTTCATCACCATAGTGCCTCCACTACCACACTCTTCGCCCTTTACTGGAACTATTGGTGGTTTATAGGCGCCTCAGCC